AGTCTGGTGATATTCTCCATTTTCCCATGAAAAGAACAAATACAACAAGGAACTGATCGTACTACGAGCTATTGAAAACAAATTCACAAGCCACACTGTTGCACTGGATGTCGTTCTTTTATTACAACTGACCTGGGCACTGTAGATTATTTTTAAAAAATCCATGGCGGGAAATAATTCCCACAAAATGCAAAATCGTGTTTGTGTAGCATTAGCTGGAAAACAATGTCCAGCTTTTTTATAAATGATTTAGTCTTAAAAAGATGGGTACATATTTATGTGCCGTTTTAAAGCTTTACATCTTCAGTTGGTACACATGGGCTAAGGGCAGAGTGCCAGTGTATAGGAAAGTATTAAGGCAGACTAACACAAAATACAGAATATCCCAAGCCTTATCCTTTAAATCCTCAGAAGATTGATATCTTGAACTTCACCATGCTTCAAAAGTGGAATTACTCCGTAATTTCATTATTAATTCTCTGCAAGGCAGCAAATCAGTTTAAACGTTATTTGCATAAAACAAATTGTATTTAACATTTTAATGGTGTCTTCGTGAAGAATCGCCAAACACTAGGAAGGACTGGTCTTGAGAGTTGAACTAAAATAATCCTGAGATGTCACAAATTCTGTATCTTTTTAAAATGAATAAAAACGCAGGATGCCATCATGATGGAAGATGGATGAAATAACCATTCGAAAAAATACTCATTCCAAGAATCTGATTATAAAACGGTAATGAATAAAAGGAAAATAATTTAATAAATAATATCATATTCTGTTTCGACACTGTCCTATTTTCATTATCACCTTTTTTTGAACAGGTTTGTCCATCAAATCCAAACCCCACTTCTCTAGTATTTACTTATCTTTCCAGACACTAATTGAGGTACATAAGTTACCTTACATGCCGCTTATCATACTGAACACACAGCCCATCTCTTTCTGAATGCTTTCAGATTACTTAGTGTTTACTTTAGGGTATGCCATGCCAGACATATACTATACAACATATGCTCTGAGTGCACACAGCCCTCCTAAGTGGACCAGACCGTGTTGTAGCAGAACGTTCGGGCATCAGACGGCAGTGGCAGTGCGTTAGAGCCCGGGGACTAAATATCATCTCTCCATACGGGCATAATGGAGACTGAAAGATGCAGAAATGGGAGGGAAGAAGGCAAGACAAGTGACAAGCTAGAACAGGATCACAGCTCCTTTGAAGGCAGCTGGGCAGGCACACACAGGGCCCACTAGAACAGGGAAGTGACTCAACACCCCAAGGACTCCTTTTTCAGCCCACATAACTTTGACACTTTTACCATAATTTAACCCTTAACTGGACAATTTTCAGAACAAGCGACAGTAAAGTGGAAGCCAACAGCCCATGAATGAGGAGTGTACTTCAATGTGCAATCTTGTGTGTGTTGGTGAGAAGGAGGAGGAGCAGGAAACGGTAGAACGTCTCTTGTATTTCAAACGTGGGAGGCTGCTTTTATGTCAAGTTGCCGAACAGGAAGGAAAACTACACCGAGTGAGGTCTCAGTTGAAGTAGTTGTAGTTCGTGGCAGAAACCAGAGTGCAGTAACATTGCATAATGTACTGAGGAGGGTTTCACCTATTAATGCCTAAGTGACACCTTTCTGGATGCCAGTGGGTTTTTGCATTTTTGGAAAACAAGTTCACATGTTAAATATATAATATCAAATCAATAAAATAATTAAAATTACTTAATGTCAATGAGATCAACAGATGCGCAGTTCTGCTTGAGTGCGAACAGATGAAGAGGCTCGTAGGTTTGTGTTAATTGTCTCCAGTGGATGTTGGACAGATCATCATTAACATCGCAGTAAGCTTTTCCATCATTACTGTGGCTGAAAGTCAACATATGTAATTAACATTAGGCACATTATAGTGCAATGACATGGATTGCTAAATTGTTTAACCTGAATATGTTGCACAATTGTACTCTCCTATAGGGAGTGTCAAGGGACACCACCTAGACTAATGTTAAAGGCTTCCAAGCCATAGGGCTTTATTTAACATGCTTTGATTAATAATGCCACTTTATTCAACTATAATATTCTAAAGTATAAAATAACTTAAGCTTTGACCGTGTAATTTGTGAGATTATAAAGTACAAAATGAACATAAATGTTAAATTAACTCCTCCTCACATAATATTTTTACTGACACAAAGCTATACAGACCGCGCCATTGAAATCGGGGCTGTGAGTGTACGGAACACAATTATTAAGCACCGCAGGCTGTAACAGCACAAACATTATTAGTGCACCCACACACATATAGCATGTTTGTGTGTGGTGTGTGGGTGTGCGTGTGAGAATGAGACAGAGAAGGAGAGAGAGACCTGTGACTTCCTCCACTACATCAGAACCAACTATTTCACAATAAAAGTGATAAACGGTCTTGTAAATAGGAGGTGCTTGTAGTTCTCAACAATAAATTTTCTTTTCATGTTCTTCTATCCCGGCGGGGACTTTAACCTGAATGCACACTAACCCATGGGGATTCTTGTGTTCTTGTAAATTGAGGTCTCCACAGGTAGAGATTGCCTTTTGAGGTTAAAGACTTGGTTTTAGGGTTCAGGTTACAATTATGTTGGGGTTAGGGTAAGGGGCTAGGGAACGCATTATGTCAATGAGACGTCCCCACAGTGCAAAGAACTTGTGTGTGAGAATGGAGTTGCAAATAAAAAGAGCTGCTTGTGGCCCATAAATTAAAGGTGTGCATAAAAAGGTCAGCCGCCTCCTTCCTGCACACAGACTGCTTTTCAGAAAAGACTGTCCAGATGTGGTGGCTAATCTAATTTTCCGAACATCTCAAAATGGGATCAGAAACTGTGGTGCAGCACAGTGGAGTTTTACTGTGACAAAGCCAGGAAGCCTGGACACTGCTTATCTATCACACTATAACATTGAAAAGTGACATTTTATGTAACTATAAACATCATAAAAAGCAAGATGGTCAAATCAATAAGTTTAATCTCCTCTTAATAAGACAAGAGTGCAAAAACTTGAGCCATTCTGCCATTAAGGACTAATTAATGAGACAGCTCCGCTTTAAGTTTAAATGGATGCTGCCATGTATACTAAGATAAAAAGGGAAAAAGTAAAACATCTGACCTGAAAGCAGATTCACAACATTTTCAACTACCAAGTTATCTATAGACGTAGTATGAGGCAAGATACAATCTCGTGTTTTAATTGTAGGGTTAGCTAACAGCTAGTAGACTGTTCTGAGATGTTTCTGGAAATCAGCAGTGATTAAACTCCCTCATCCGTCCCAGAGATCCAGAGGCCGATCGAGTGTGAAAAACCTCCCCAGTCTCAGAGAGGAGTGTTATGTCTGAGTCAAACATGTCACATCGTCCTCCTCCTGCACACACTCTGAGCGATGCATTAACAGTGAAATGGCAGCAGCTCATGTCAATGTCACCTCCTTTGTGCCTTCTCTTGTCCAAATTAAGAAAAACATTGACAGTGTGTGCGCACACTGGGGATCTTGTTTGCGGACATGTTGATTTAGGTTAATGATTCTGCTGATGAGATCCTGCTAACTATGCCTCAGAGTGAAACACAGTACGTGCATGTCAGTGGGAGTGAGGTAAGCATACCATCCGCAAACAGCTTTGAACGGACGCTTCACGGAACAGACACCGAGTCCTTGCAGTCAACTACAAGAATCTGTGGTTTGTGAGCAGAGGGGAAGGAGCCGTTCAGCAGCCGTACATCACTCTGCTATGACATGTACTCAAATAGTAAACAAGCCAAAGCAAATTTAATGCTGTTTGTTCCCCTTTTTTGGGCTTGTTCTGGAGTAGTTACAGTGAATAGCGCCTTTACATTCAGCCCCAATAGGGTAGAAGGGTATTCCCTTCCTTCAACATTTATCTGTAACACACTCGCACAAGGCAGGAAGCTCACAGCTAAAAACGAAAGAGATGTTATCTGTGGCAAGACGTTGCTTTTTTTCCATGAAGTCATCACAAGCCCCTGGGTAGAGTGGCTGGCTGCAACAAAAGGGCTACTGTTTGACTGGCACAATATGCCGCTCTACTCCACAGCTTGGCCACACATGCAAATGACAGGCCAGGGGGGAATGGTGTGGTGATGTCGACGAAAGCACTCATTAAACACCAGCTGAGTGTAAAAGATGATGAGGACTTTAGTGTGGGAGACACTTGCATAGCCCACATTGCTCAAGAGACACTATATTTTCACCTGAAAGACACCTGATAAACAGTATCTTTGTGATCTTTATCACTCTAAAATGCTTATTTCAAATGACTTGATATATATACTTCCCCCTTATCTTGTCATTTGAGTTGGAAAGTATGAGCAATGTGGAGGACAACTGTTGAAAGTGAAAACAGGTTGTTCAAGTATTTCTGTTTCATTATCTTCATCACCTCATCTTCTTCCACTCCAGCAGCCTAAGCCTGCTCTGCACTTCCTGATTCAGGATCCAGATGTCAGCCAGGGATGTGTGTCTTCACACACACCGCAGTACATTACCGTGTCAATACATGGTCAGGAGGGCTGCAGGTTTGCCTTCATTGAGAATAAAGCTTTCTTTAGAGAACTACTGTATATGCCACTTTACATACTTTTAAACAAGACTTGACACGAGGTGTGACTGCAGGGGACGAGCTGAATAAACGAAAGGCATCCTGGATGTATTTACTGAGTTTGCATTGATATCTCCCCTGCACAGAAGTAGCTCTGTGTCAACTTTAACAACTGCGATATGCAAGGGCTGATTTCAATACAGACATGTGCATCAGTGAAAGCGCCACTCACATTTCCAATGACTGTGCGTTAGAAGTCATATGCATGTCTTTTACACGCACGATTTGCCAACAGCCAGAAATATGATGGCATTTGGATTTCCTGGTAACTGAATCGGTACAGCCTGTAATACGCACCAGGTATATAAACTGAAATTAAGAAGAAACATTTTTTTTTATATATAAAGCTACTCACCGTTCGGTCCATATTTCTCAAAATTGCTTTTGACTTGTTCCAGAGTCAGCCCAGTGTTTTCGTTCACACCGAAGTTGTCTAAAACTTCAGTCGCCGATTTAGTGTGCGCATTTTCCATCTTGGTGGACTGGGCTTAAATGATCCGATCGAAATGCATGTAGTTGAGTAACATCTATTGTGGCAATCGGAAGGTGTGCGGGGGAGAGGGGGCGGCGGAGTGTGAAACAGCAGTAATTTCCTCAGATGGACGTTGAGGCGGCTGGGTCTCGGTCGGTCTGCTCTGTCACCTGTCCCGCTGAAGAAAAACCAGCGGATCCGCGGTACAGACGGTGGCGTGGCTGTGTTGATCGACGTGCTGCTGTTACATCTGAAGGTGTGCTGAGCCTGTGCCGGGGTGCACCGCCTCTCCGCTGTTGAGCACTCCCTCCTGCGCTCCCATTGGCTGCGTGTACCTGAGCGGAGGGTTCAGCTGCCCCATGCAGCCACTTCAAACATCTTCCCTTAAAACATAACGCAGAGCTGTAAAGCTCTGACAGTGCTCGTGTTTGTTATAGCGCAGGTTGTTAACTCGTAGTCAGGTTATAGTTAGAGCCGTCACGTGACATCATTTTATTGCTCCTTATGGAGAAATGATCTTTTTGCTTCAGTCGGCTGCACATCGACGCCCCTTGAGCTGGAGGTGGACACCATTAACACAGCACCCAGACTACTGCAGTTTAAGAGACACCAGTGCAGAGTCAAAGTACAAGTTACATGTGCTGCTGAGTCCCGAAGCAGCCCTGTGGCCAGCTGCACAAAGATCAGGTTGATCTAGTCAATTAGGGCAGTTTGAGTTTTATTCAGACAAAAATAAGACTGACTCTTTTTAAGATTAAGACAAAGCAACTCTACACTTCTACTGTAAAGTTGTCCTCACAACTGACAAAAAAATAGCTTGTGGTTTGTTATACAGTCAGGCAAATAAATAATGTTCCAGTAATCACTTGAAATGTATATCATTTTTTAACTCAAGCGTTTCACACATCACCAAATTCTCCTAATAAATTATCCTTGTAGCTGTTGAATTCTTCCAGTCTTATGCTCAAGAGAAGATAGCAGCCTGAGCTAATAGCTTTGTCAGCATGTTTTTACTAAATCCTTCACATAAGCTGAAATAGACCTTGGATAGTCAGGAATTAGACAGCTTTGTGCAGACAGTGAATTTACTGTAGCTGTGATTTTAGTTCAGAGGCATCAAAACACTGAAAAATAAAATTTAAGAACTCATATTATGTTTATTTTAGCACTTCATCAAACTACAATTGAAACAGTAAGCACACATTAAACATAAAAGCAGTAGAATATGTAATGTAAAATGACTAAATAAATGTAATACAAACACAATCAAATGTAATGGTGGTGTTGTCCCGTCCCCGGTGACATGAGCTGGACATTCAGAGCTGCACAAAAGCAGTTATGTAACAGAATGTCTCAAACTCTTGACAGCTGTTTTCTCTGTCCTTGCAATCTTGCCAGACTGTTTTTTCAAGGAGACTTTGCAAGAACACCCTTCTTAAGTCCATTCTTGGCTGTCCTGGTATTGAGAAACAGCCTCTTGAGTCCTCAGCACCAAGGTTGAATACCGCTGCATCAGAGGAAGTTTTCCGCGGCAGGAACCCAGGAAGTCCAGTTAGAGGACAGTCCATTTTAGGTCCAAATGTAATAAAACATGAGTTTGTACCCCATATACATACAAAATTAATGCATAAGCAGCATTTAACTGGTCAAGGTAGAGCTAGTTTTAACTACTTTATATACATTTAGGTCGTTTAGTCATGTGGTTTCCAACCTAGGGGTCAGGCCCCTCCAAAGGGTCACAAAATAAATCTGAGGGGTTGTGAGATATGTCAGGGTGAGGAAAGAAAAAAAAGTAACAAATTATTGTATTAGTGGAATTGCTAATAACTCCTAGACATTTGAAACGTGACAAGAAAGAGGTTTGAATTTTATTTATTAAGCTTCATATTATCTTTATGTAAACTCTTGATCTGAAAAGTAGCTAGTAACTACAGCTGTCAGATAAATGTAAATAGAATCTAAACTACAATTTCCCTCTAGAATGTAGTGGAGTAGAAGTATAAAGTAGCCTAACATGGAAATATTCTAGGGAACAACACAAGTGCTCCTTTGATTATGCTTTTCTTTAGAGACCTGTGAATTCTAATAAATAGATTCATCACAGATAGTTGAACAATCCTCTCACCACTCTTCCTGCTAGTATATAAAAATTAACAAAATGAAACCTGTGGATGTTTAGTGTCAGGGACACTTTCACCCCCCGATAAATTTTCCTTTTACAGAGAGACATCATGGTTGGCTTCTGGTGACTGAAATTATTAAAAATTTATATGAATCCATAGTTTTTATAGATCATTTATGCACAAATTTACTTTCTTTGTTTATCATGGTCCAACACACTCACTTTAGCCCATTGCAACAACCTGTTTGAACCAGAAATACATTAAACTATAGCACAAAAATATAATTTTGCATATCATTTACTAAGACCCCATTGGGAGTTGAACTTCCTGGAAAACAGTGAAAGTGATCTATTGCACGGAAGGCATAACTTTTTTCACCCAATAAAACCACCACACACTTGTGAACAACCCTGCTGCTCCATGCCTATGAGCAAACAAATTTCCTCCTTCTAACTAAAATCCTATTGGTTTAAACTTTTGTTGACGCCCTGCTCGGCTGCTTGTGTGACTGCACCTTCACCCTTGTGGTTACATGATGATTCACAAAGTCTAGACAACCCCAATCTATTAAAAACCTGTATTGTTTATCAAAGAATCATCACTGTTTAAAATGGTTTACAGGTTATGACTGTGGAGCGCCATGTAGAGTTGGCTTTCAGGGGGGAAATCAGCAATTTATTCATGCATTGGTAGAAGTTTAATGAATTTATCCATTCATCAGTGACTTGGGAGGAATCAGCCCACTAAATGCAAGTAGGGAAACCAATGTTCCAGATTTCCCTTCCATCACTTTATCCTGTGTAAGGTTACTGCAGCACAATCTCCCCACAGTATGCAGAAGCTGAAATGGGTCTACTGTTGAAGATCACAGGAGCTGGACTGGGACCTTGTTGGGCACAAAGTATAACAGGAACAAGGTGCTCCAATTCTGTCCTCGTTCACAGCTGGCCTCTTCTCTCACAGCAAAAAAAAAGGAAAGAAGAAAGCATATTTATATCTGGAGCTTACGTAACTTCCAGAACTGCTGTCGGGACAATGGTAGCTGGCTACATGAAGTTCTTGGATGCTAAGTGCCTGCAAGTGCCCTCTCACTTACTTTGGAGGTTCTGCCTTTGCCTCTGCGTCAATATTCAGATCCAGAAGATTTCTATTTCAAAAACCAGACCTCACTACAGCTATCCACAGATCCCCAGCAGACACTCAGGCTAAAACCACAGGCTCCACTTATTCTGCTCACTGCCCACTCACAGTCAGTGAGATTATCGTTAGTCATCATCAGTATCGACTTATGGTTTGAAGTTCTTTTTAAACTTGTGTGTGTGTGTGTGTGTGTGTGTGTGTGAGGAGGGGGGGGGGGGTCCATCTGTATGAGCTAAAGCCTTTGCATCAGTCCTCACGGTGACATAATTTTCGAGAGAACCCCTTCAGTGCCAAAGCTCTTATGAAAAGGAAATCCCCATGCCGGACCCCCTCCATGGCTCACTCTCTCTTTCCCTTCAGTGGCACATACTGGGGGACTGTGCTAGTCTCAGAGCCAGTCACACAACATTTTCCACACAGCACTGTCAGTCTTCCAACAGCATTTGCCTTCCCCTTTTGCTTACAGCTCTCATTTGCATGAGGGAAATGAGCCGTAGCCTCCAGAGCATAAAAAAGAAAAGAGATTTCCCTCCACCTTGCATGTGATGCATCACAAACCCATTGTATCTCCATCTAAGGCAAGACATGACATTGTCTGTGCACCTTGACCTGAATTCAGGTTTTTGTATTTGATATGAAATCAAAATCATACACACACAAAAGTTTTTCAAGGGATTTTGCATTTGAATCCTCTCTGCAGCTTGTGTGAAAGACGGAAGTGTTGGGGACAAACAGCTGCTGCTGCCATTGACTTTGAATCAAGGAGATGTGATGCACATCAAAAAAAAAAAACAGTCTGGAGCAGCTGAACCTGACAAGCAGCCCAAGTGGCAAGTCAACCCCACCCAGCTGCCTCTCCATTAATAAACCTCTCTCCTCTTTTCCTGTTTCTCCTTCCCCTCTTCCCTGTTTGGGGGCTCTGCACATCTGTGAGAGAGGCATCATTTCACAGTCTGGCGCAGCAGGATGCCACGCAGCCTGTCAGCCCCAGGAAAAGAAGGGAAATGTTTTATGTTAGAGGAGAACTGTCTGCTTTCATGCTGTCTTAATATCAACCCAATATTTTCAATACAGTTCTCCAATGATATTTGAAATTGCAATATCCAATATTAAAGAGATTTAAAGGTATTTCTGTGTAGATGGAAAAGATTAACCTGTTCTTTCTTCATTCTATCTGCCCTTGCAGGAAGCTGGTCCATTTTGTGCCATAAAGAAATCAAAAAGTATTCCCAAAATCTGACCATGTGACCCTCAGAGTGCTGTAGAAGCCGGTAGAGGGGGTTTATGCAGCTGTGGAGTGGCTGTAATTATCTTAATGTTGCACAGAAGCGACGTGTTTGATGTGATTTAACACCTTTAATAAGACATGATTTAACAAGGAAAGTTCTCTCATTATTTGCAGTGGCATCATCTTTGATAAGAGATGTAAGTAGCACACAGAGAGTTCAGGCTTTTACATAGAAAATACAGAGCTGCAGTGTTTTTAACGTTTCTATTTTCTTAAATGGGTGTCAGTTTTCCACCGTTGTGTTTGCCATTCAGTAAGCTCAGGGCTCCAGTTTGAGGTTAGTTTCCTATGAGGTTGGGTGCTCCCTGTTTGCAACCAGCTCACTGGTCAGTGCACTTTGTGTTGAAGATATTACAGCCTTGCTAGTCCAGTCTTGACTTTACGGTCGTCTACAACACGGGTGGAGGTAATCATTATTGTATCTGGTTGGCACCAGAAGTTTGTTTAAATTGGAACTCCACTGATTTTACACATCAAAGTCTGTTTACAGATCTTGGGGAGTACTACTTCATATGTGAAAAAGGTTGTAAGAAAGCCTTTTGTGAAGTCTGATTATTGTCCTCAAGTGTTGTCACAGTATCAGCATTGGATGGAGCTGAAGACTGAAGTTTGAAAATGAATGATATCTGGGGGTGTGGAGTTAGAAATAAGTGAGCTTGGCTCCCCACCTGGACTTGAGGCCAATGATGATGATCAATATTGATCCGTTTTGTTCTAAACTGTCAGTC